TGGGCTTTTGGTACAAACTGTGTGTGTGTGGGGTGGGACTGGTGCTTGGGAGACTGTGTTATTATAGAAACGCAGCGCCTCTTCAGGCTGCTTTCCTGAACAGTACAAACAAAATGCCTCTTGGGCGGCAGCCGAAAACTGGCGAACATGTCTCCCTGGTCCTGAAGTCCCTGCAGTGACAGTCCCACAGTTAGGAGGACTGCTTCTTCTTCCTCCGAGGCGGCGCGCCTTTCTGAAGACCCGGAGGGGGGTCCTTGCTCCAAGCTGACTGGCRGGGGGGTTGGCCSTGGTSATGAGGCTGCGGTGGCTGGGTGCCTAGGCTCCCAGGCAGCACCGTTCTCTTCGCCGGAGGCGGCTGTGCGGCCGGCTTCTGTGTGCTGGTCTTGGGTCTCGAGTCCCGTCTGGGGATAATGCAGCGCAGAGCTCCTGCCTGCTTCTTCCTCAGCTTGAACTTCGCCTGAATAACRTCGAGAGACTGRCCGAATAACCCAGCCGCCATAACTGGTTCATTCAGGTATGTGGCCCGGTCTCTGTCAGGGACATCAGAGWGTGTCAACCACAAATGTCTCTGAGCCACCACGGTTGAAGCCATACCTCTGCCCAGGGAGAGCGGGACGCACGGAGGATGTAGTCCGCGGTGAGTCTGATCTCATTTAAGAGAGGCAGCAGAGTACTCTCGGCCGGTACCTGGGCTCCGAGCTCCGCCAGAGCCATAGCCTGGTAAGTCTGGAGCATGCTGATGGAGCTCAGGCCGCGAGCGGTGGTGGCCTGGGCCTTATAGATTTTTTCAAGCTGCGCAGCAGAAAATCTACAGGGCTTGGAAGGSAGCGTGGTGGGTCCGCTCACACCATGGTTGTGAGACGGGGCCAGATACGCTGCCAGGGATGGCTCCATGGGGGGCATGTTTACCAGTCCAGCTTTTTCAGCTCCTTCCAAATCCRAATACGGTCCATAATCGGGCACTGTGACGCGGGTGGACAGAGGTTTGGCCCAGCAGGATGTCAGCTCCGAGACGAAATCTGGTAGCATGGGAAGGCGGTTTTTCACCGCGGTCAGTTCAGTGGGGTGAAAAAAATCCAGTGAACCGYGRCGGTTTTTGTGCAGRAGAGGGAGCCAGCCACTCCACCTCCAGTTTCTGAGCCGCGCGACGACACAAARAGAGAAAAGACGTGTCCTCCTGGTTTTCCCCCGCAGAAGCAGGGGCTTTTGGACTCGGACCGGGTTCATCGTTGTCTTCCGACAGACCATGCACATCCAGGCCGATATCCAGCACGTCCTCCCCTCCGTGGTGGAGGTCCAGATGAAACTGGGAGGCCTCCTCCTCTTCGTCGGCTAACTCCTCCATATATTCCACTTGGTCTGGTCAGCTGGAAGCGGGGACTTCGACCGAGGGCTCCTCCTTGTCAGACTCGGACGGAACCGGGTTACTAGACTCGGAGAGGAAAGGGTCCTGCCGCATGACTGCAGCCTCGCCCAGCACTTTCTCCAAGAACTTAACCCGTCTCTACAGGGTTGAGCGTCGAAGCAGGTGGCAACGCTTCAGGCTTCGCCAACGCCCTACGAGCGTGGACGATCCCCAAACAGACTGGGCAAGCCTCGTGCTGGTCCTTTTCGTGAAGCGAGAAGCCGCACCCCTGGGGACAGGGGCAAACTGAAGACTTCTGCTTCTTCTTAATTTTGTGCTCATCCTGAACCACAAAATTCTCTCTTTCATTGATGTAAGAAAGGTTTCTCAAAGTTACTGCTCCGCGGGCAGACACAATTACCAGTAGGCAGCTGCAGCTGACACCAACAAAAGCCGTTAAACAAAATCCGAGAACCTTCGAACAAACAAAGTTAATTAGCAGCAGCTAACTAGCTAGGTTGGAAGAGGTGGGTGTTCTTGCGAGGTAAAGAGCAATAGAACTGAGGAGTGACTGTGATGGCGACAGTATATACTGTATATGTGCAGGCGGAGCCTGACATCTGTCGTCATCACGTCACCTGCCTAAAGGCGTGATTAGAGGTGGCTTCAGCCAGGACACGCAGGGGCCTGGTTTCCCATACATGATGTGTTGTACCGAGTGAATTGACTGAAAGGGAACATGTTTATTAATAATAGTACTCAATAATTGTAGGGGAAACCAAATTCTATTAAGTGTTTTATAAATACAACAAGGGGTTCTAACAGTCCCCATATGTCATGTTACTTTGTTCATCTTTATTTTTGTCCAAGCAGTGTCATTTTCCTCTACATGTGCATGAAGGAATGCCACATTTCCACCACGTATGTTAGCATAATTTCATTGCATTAATACAAGCGGAGTGGCTTGTTTTAATGGATATGTGACTGTTGCTAAATGTCATTCCAGTTCTTCCTTTGTGCCGTTAAGTAGCCAAGAAAAGCAGTAATTTAAGACACAAGTATGCATATCAATTTCCAACCTGGCTCTACTTGTGTTATAACCTATCTTTATCATTGCTGATCATGTCCTTGTTTTGAGGTCATCAATTTCTTTTTATTTAAGCAGCTTTGTCCTTGATTTTTTTTTTCTTTTTGTTTTTTCACGTCGTTTTCCATTCCCTTAGGCTCAGTTGAGTAACCCCCAGCTCAGTAGCCTACAGGGTAAAAGTAAAATGCTCCCTCTTATTGAGGAGGCCTGGAGTCTACCAATCCCAGCTGAGCTAACCTCCAGGCAGGGAGGCCTGAGCAGTGCACCGCAGCAGGTGAGAGACCAGATAGAGCAACTTGCACCTCCCTTCCCCTCCCTTCAATCCCCTTCTCCCTTCCCTTCCTCTGTCTGAGTGCACYCTCAGACGCATTCTGTACAAACAAACATGGCTAACACTTGAGCTTAACGTCACCTCTCCATCCAGGCTGATACATAAACCCAAAAAGAAATCCAGTAAAATATGATTTATGAATTTTTATGGCATTTGCAGCTTTCTTGCATTCGTTTTAAAATGAGGATGGTTGCAGCCAAGTGTTACCCAGCCCTTCACTCCCTCTCTTTTCTTGGCACCGCCCATCACGCTCCATTCCAGCAGGGTGAAAACATAAAGGCTATTAAAAAAACTATCAGGTATTCAGGGTTCATTTAAACCTGAATACGCCAGTTCCCCACAAAAAAAATACATTGGGACTTTGTGTAAAATAAAAACAATTATTTGCAGATCTCATAAACTCAAATTTTATTCAGAGAACATGGCAAATATCTCAAATGTTTAAACTAAGAAATTGTAATTTTGACTTTGAAGGCAGCAACACATCTCAAAGATTGAACTGGACCATGTTTATCACTGTGACGCTTCCTTTTTACAACATGTTAACGTCTAGGAATTAAGGAGACCAGTTGTGGGAGGTTTTGGAGAGGAATAGTTTCCCATTCTTGTCTGATGTAGGATTCTAGCTGTTCAACATTCCTGGCTTCTTTGTTGTTTATGTTGTTTCATGCTGCATGTTTGTGAAAAGTTTGGACTGCAGGGAAGTCTCTTCTGCTAATAAGCCATGCTGTTGTAATGAATGCAGTTTGTGGTTTAGCATTGTCTTGCTGAAATATGCAACACTTTCCCCTCAAAACAAATAGTTGCCTATATCAGTTCATCTGTTGTTCTGCATTGATGGTGCCTTTTCAGATCTGTAATCTGTCCATGTAAGAGGTACTAATGTACCTCCATACCATCAGAGATGCTATGTTTTAAACTGTGCGTTGATAACAGGCCAGATAGTCTTTAGTACAGAGAACACGGCATCTGTGGTTTCCTAAAAGAATTTTAAAAATTTTTTATTTGTGAGACCACAGAACTGTTTTACACTTTCTTGATCCATTTTAAATTAACTTTGTCCCYGGAAAAACCTTTTACTTTTTATAGTAGTGCTTTAAGCATTTGTGGATGGCATGGCTGAAACTTCTTGATTCTTTCAATTGTAGAGGGTGGGTTAAAGTCACAGGGCACCCTTTTAATTTCAGAAACAGAAGGGAAAATGAAAAATTTTAATATCCCAGCAAGTAATGGGTGAGGGGACCTATCATTTAGGTTAATGTCCAGAACTTGGCCACCGCCTTGAAAGCCAAACATGAACACACTCATCAGCATCAGGGACGACAGCACATTGAACACATCAAATAACAGCTTCCCAGTTGTTGTTTCAACTTTCTGTGTTGAGAACATTTGAACCATGAGAGATATTGCACATTCAATTGCAGCAATTGATTTATGAAACAGTTTGGTTTTGGTGTGCCACATGACCCCCTCACTAGAAACATTTGACTTTATTCCAATATGATGGCTTTCAAGACGGCGGCCATGTTCCACACGGGCCCCCTCTTCCATTACTTGGCGGCGTTATTCAGATATTTCATTTTCCTTTTTGTTTTTGAAATAAAAGGTTGTCCTAAGCCTTTGGACTCATCTTGTATAATTATTGTAGATGATGGTGTGAAAATTATTTTTATTAGTTTTACTGTTCTAGATGCAATTTTTCACAGACTTGTGATCCCTTGCCCATTTTTACTTTTGCTGAATTCAGCAAAAAATGCCCCCCAATTTTATACTCAGTCCTTTGACTTAGGTTCATTGTTCATACCACTTAATTGTACATATTGTTACCCGTCTGAACATTTTTTTAAATTTGTTGCTGCTATAAAATTCCAAAGTACAACTACAACAATTTTATGGTCAAACAATATTATGTTCTTGTGAATAAAATATAAATTTATGTAACTWAAAAATCATTACATTCTGTTTGTATTTACATTTTGCAAAACACCCCAACTTAAGAATGACAAATCCTGTTTAAGGTGGCAAACTTGTTGAACTTGTTTTCACCTAATTTACTTTTTAAGTAGACTTCAAAAGAGTGCCTCTCTGAGGAGAATTCCTCTTTGTATTGCTTTCCTTTCATAATTAATAAAGTACCCTTTTTCTGAATTTTGACCCTGCTCCAGCGTGATGGGCGTGGCCATTTCCCGTTTACTCTGTCCATCCTACTCCCTTCTTCAGTAGCTGACCTTAGAAGCAACTTCAGCCGCTCACAACGCCCCAGAAATGCCCACCCTTAAGTGTGTCATTACCACTTAATTCAGTCATCATTCAGTAGATGTCAGTAGTTTTGTGTGTGACCTTTTGTTGTTACTGACTTAACGCACTAGAAGGTGTTTAAAGTAGCAGCTATGATTGTGTGAGTGTGTTGATCAGATTTCTGTGGGTCGGATGTAACTTTAAACCGATGATATTTCAGGCAAACCTAAATAAATTGGATGTTGCACTTCCAAATTCAAATTTTTTACATAATAAAGCACATCGTCCCTGCAGTGAGGGGTACTGTCATGAGTCACACCTGACCCACATCTTTTGGAGAGGTGATGAGTGGGAGACGTCACCTTTCTCGTTTTTGAGGTTGAGAGTCACGGCAGCAGAGTTAGCCTCAGTGACGGCGATATGCTTGAGTTCTGCTGTTACGCAATGATGCAATGCCTCCTGAAACGGGGGCTGTTTAACCCTGCGTGTCGGTTAAGCTCAAAATCATGACATTGTTCTTTTTTTCTCCCCTTCTTTTTCTCCCATCCCATCTATGATCTTTTTCTCATTTTCCTGCTGTAACCACTCCTAATTGCTCTTTTTTTAAACTCTCTTTTCATTTCGCTTCGCATTAATTTTTCTATCTTTTCGCTCCAACCATTTTTATTTGTATCTTTTTTTTTCCCCGAACCTTCTTTGCCTCCGTTTTGCTTTCCCCACCCCCTTTTTTGTGCCACCCACCCTTCCACCCACCCTGTCTCTGCAGGCCTGTAAGCCCAATCATAGTGCGGAAGGCGGGGGCTCRAGTCAGTCCCTGCCCCCTCATGTGGGCTCGCTGGGCCAAGCAGACGATCAATCCTGCCCAGCCAAGAGGAGGAGAGCGGCCAGTCCTGCCAAGGTAAACACTAACACTGTTTGCACCCTGAATTATTACTGACTTAATGGTTTCGTTAGAGATTTATATTGTTGTTTTCCCTCAGAGTGATTCATGGACCAGTAATCCACCACAGCAGCCAGCACCTAGCTGGTACCTCTCCTCTCAGAAACTACAGGTTAGTCCTCTTATTTTTAAACAGTASACTCAATCTCATACAGTGTTGTGGGATCTCATGAAAAGTGTTAATTCTGATAGAGTGTGTTGTAATTGACTCAGCGTTATTATCACATCAAACTTGAGCTCAGGATTGTAGGGTCTGGGTGAAGTTGGGCCCAGACTGCCGACTCACAAAGATGTAGACGTAGACTCAAAATTAATTTAGAGTAACTAAACCTGAAATAAACTTTTTTTCTGTCTAATCAGTATAATTACTATAAAATATTTTCTCATTTTGTCTGGCCCAGGTATACATTTTTGACAAATACCAATAAAAAATGTTTTGTTAATCTATGATCTGACATGTTGATGAACCGGTTCCACAATCTCACCATATCTCCAATCTGTGACCCATCAAATCGAAACGAGGATTAAGTCAAATTTGGTCAAAATGGCCTAATTACATTTTAAGATTCTTGGTTTTAAAAGCTACATTTTGATAACCGAATTCTCACGATACTCACCAGTCCTGGCTGTCTTGTGAATTTCAAATGAACATTTGAAACAAACAGAAATAAGGAAATATTCTTCCTGTGCTGTTTGGACCAAAGTCATATTTTATACAAAATATTGCCTCAACTTTATTTATTTATAATTTATTTTATTTACYGTTATTTTACCAGGCAAGTCCCATTGAGATCTCAGATCTCTTTTTCAAGGGCAGCCTGGGCCTGAAGGCAACCTACTGTACATGTTTTGGGGGGTGGGGGAAACTGGAGAACCGGGAGAAAACCCACGCAAGCATGAGGAAAACATGCAAACTCTACACAGAAAGACCCCAGGTCCGAACCGGGGATCGAACCCAGGACCTTYTTGCTGTGGGGCGTCGGTACTAACCACTGAGCCGTCGTGTTGCCCAGCTGGACTGTAACTTTACGGGTTTGTTTGAAACGGCTAAATGGGAGTTTGCATGTTTGACATGAAACTTCACTTTTTACAAAATACATTAATTACTTTAGAACAATCAAACATTTTCAGAAATGTCAAATGAAGCTAGCTGTCACGTTCTCTCGTCAAGACCACTCCTCGCTCATCCCCACACTTGGCCACGCCCCTCAGTGTGTCTTGGCACCGCCCACTTTGGAATTTTTCAAATTTGCCTGGGAGCAGGGTTAGGCTTTCACAGGGGGATTAGTTACACTTTAATCACTTTAATATGAAAATAAAAGGCTGGCTGTGCAGTGAAACTTAAAGAAACACAGATCGGGTGATTAGGAAGGAAGTCAAAATATAAGTGAGACAAAACAAGATCATCGAGGTGGAGACTGAAATGCAATGATCTGCTGGTGTGAGGGTGAAAAGAGACTGACTAAACGGAGCAGGACTGATGAGGTATGAACAGGCAGCTGAGCTGATGAGGAGTGGTAACAGGTGTGAGTGGTTGATGACTGGAAAACACTGACRAGCTGAAGGAGAGATTAGTGACACAGGGAACACAAGAGCTTAATCCAAAAAATATCACAACTGAGACAATCAAAACTAAAGTGACAAGAAATGATAAACATAAAAATACAGAAACCTAAGACAACAAAAAATGAATTAAGCAAAAATACACAAGGAACCATAAAACCAAAACATGAGGGTCCTGCCAAGTATCTGTAAATTTGATCGTGCTGTAGCCATTTAYGTGTTTAAGGTCAGTTCATTGTGGTAGCCATCTTGGCTTGGATTGACTCCAAAAAGTTTGTGTCAGACATACATCTGGGGAATCCGTCCAGCAGCAGTGTTTCCTTTCTTCTAGTGGTAGTTTGGTTATGGACAGTTGGACGCGCCTGTACACTAATGAAGTCCCAGGAAAGTCAGGGCACCAGGGCTGAGAGATGATGCATCACCTTTAGAGTCTCCTCCAGCTGCAGTGAATTACAAACACATTTATTAATCCATTACATGATCTTCATGGAGGGACAGGCAGTTCTGTTGGGGTGGCAGAGCGCCCTTATTGGATAAAAGTAGGAGAAACACTTCATAGTTCAGATTTATTTTTCTAACAGACAAACACTGACTCAAAAAGAAAAACCATTGCCCACCTTTCGCTCTGAAAAGATTTTCATATTACAGCTTTTATTGTAAAGGTGTTCTCGACATGAAACAGGAATGGTTGTTTTATTACAAAAGAACTCAATTATTCATGTATAATGTTACGTGAGTATAATGCAACCCCCCACCCGTTTTCTTGAGCTTAAAAACAAGCATATAAATTAGGGCTGCAACAACGAATCGATAAAATCGATAAAAATCAATTTATTAAAAGCATTGACAACGAATTTCATTATCGATTCGTTGTGTTGCGGGTGCCTCGCCATGCTGCGGAGCCGATGACRTCACCCCCAGAGCGGTGTCAATGCTGGCTGACCTAAATAAAGTTTAGGAAGAAAGAAAAAACTACCTGTAAAGAGCCGCCCTCTCTCTCGAGTGAAAAGCAGAAACTACGAACTTTAAACCAGTTTTTAAATCATGTTGTTAGGCCAAGTAGATCCAAAGATATGATAAAAAGTATATGCTACAGTTATTCTCTTTAAAAGACGTCTGATTTGATGTGCGCCGCATCACGAGGAGGAAGTGGGGGAGGGGGGAGACCTAAATCCACCGTTTAGTCCTCCTCTCCTGAAAAAAGTATTAAAACTCTCCATTTTTTTCTGACTGAGGCCCAAAGTTATATGTTGAGCAGCAAAAACGGTTCAGGACGAAGGAAAAAAGACGCGAGCAGCAGGTCTGCAGGGAGAGGGGAGGGTGGGGG